TTTATCTTGGATTTATGTCCCAAAAATAAATAAAGACATTAATTAATAAAATATTAAAATTTCAATGTCTACAATGGGAAATCATTTTTTCAAGTTTGTTTACCTTTTTTTATTTTTTTTACAATATTAATGTTAGAGAACTGATTCATCCAAATTGTGATGGCTGAAAAGCCAAATATATAAACCGCTAGATTAAGTTACACAAGATAAGTATAAAAACTGAATAATTATAAGATATGGTAACTGACTAATTACCCATGATGACTATACATATATATATACACGAGATAACATTTCCTTCAAATTGGAGAATGTGGATTCTAGACGCCCAACTTGCTAAGAAAGAAATTAATTTCGCGTTTGTCTAAGGCCTTAGTGAAAATGTTTGCCAGTTGGGAATGAGTAGTGGAAATGATGCCTCGAATGAGAGCGTCGTGAAGAAAGCGACAGTCAACCTCAACGTGCTTGGTGCGCTCATGGAAGACAGGATTAGTGGCAATGTGTAGGGTCGCCTGACTGCTGCAGTGAATCCGGATCAACTGATGATGAGCCACACCCAGACTATGTAGCAAACACCGCAAACACGAGTAGTAGGGCATGTCGCCCAATCGGAGAGTAGCGGTCCCAGCTTGTCTGACGAGGCTGATGCATAAACTGTGAGAGCATGTGAACAACATAAGATAAGTCAGGACGAGTGACAGCCAAGTAGATCAAACGTCCCTCCAAACGCTGATACTTCTCATGATCGGAAAATAAGGGACTCTCTGCCAATGGAAGCTGGTGATTCTACTCTATAGAAAAATCAAATATTTTTTCCCCAAGTAAGTCAGTCTCGGTAATGATGTCAAGAGTGTATTTCTTCTTACACAGAAATATGCCGGAGAAATTCCTAGCACCTCAATAACCAAGAAGTACTTTAGTACTCCCAAATTTTTTATATGGCAACAACGGTTCAAGTACACCTTAAAAGCATACCAACAGGATCGCTCTCAGAAATGATAAGGTCATCGACATAAACCATGATATGCAAGTGCACTGAATCACAATAAAAAGTAAATAGAGAGCAATCAGAACATGACTTATGAATACCATAATGCCGAAGAGAAGAAGCAAGCTTTGCAAACCAACAACGAGGAGTTTGCTTCAAATCATATTGGGATCGATAAAATCGACATATCTCACCAGTCCGAAGAGAATGAAAACCAGGAGGAAGTTTCATGTAAACGTCCTCAATCAAATCACCATGCAAAAATGCATTGTGAAAATCTATCTGTTGGACCTCCCAATTTCGAGCCGCAGGAACAACAAAAAGTGTGTGAACCGTGAGCAAAAGTCTCCGGATAGTCAATCCCTTCAACCTGCCTATTGCCCAAAATAACCAAGCGCGCCTTAAAGGTCAATGGATGAAACTTAATTTTATAAATTCACTTACAAGCAATAGCATGTTTGTCGGTAGGAAGAGGCACGACATCCCAAGTATGATTATTCTCCAAAGATTGAATTTCAAGCTGCATGGCCGAGCGCCTGCGACTATCGCGAACTGCCTCTGCGAAAGTCTGCGATTCAGCACTGGAAGTCACAACTACCGAAAAGGACTTATGGCCGAGTGAGAATGAATCACAAGAAATATAATGAGCTCGAAAGTCTGATGTGCTACGACTTTATCTTTGAGGACAAGACACACAGTAATATACAAGGCGTATTTGTCGTGCAGAAAAAGACCTTCTCGTCTCGGCTTTAGTCTTTCCGCTTAACATTGTAATCTGCTTTTCGTTCTTTAGTTCATATTGTAAGAACTGAACGTTTAAGTTCGTATTGTTGATAGAAAATATATTTAATCCCAAAATCATTCATGTTCAATTATTGAAAGTCAAACAAATAAAGGAGCGGAAGCGTACCTAATTATCTGTGAATTTTTCTCTTCTCCTGGACTGGACTGGTTTTGTGTACTGTGTATTGGACTGGTGAGAACTTCCAAACGATCGTACCTTACGGCAGATATATTTTGCAGATATATGTGTGTACTGATATTATGTATTTTTTTTTTAACATACATATCCTTATGTTTGTATCTGTATATATATCTTTATACTGCAGTATGGTGCATTTTAAGGGAAAAAACACCTATTCAAAATCTGCCAATATTTACGTCGTTTGGGGCCACTACCAGGTAAGTAAATCATTTTTAATTTTCAGTTCGGTCCCTCAACAAACCAAAAATTTCATAATGGTATCTACACTTTTAAATCCACAATAATTTGATACTCTCTTTATTCAAAATTCCAAATTAGTAGATCACTTTAACTGAATAATATTATGACAATTATACACATTTAATTTACATATGTTGTCCAATAAAATATCTCTAACACGTATGATTTTCGCACATTCAATACTATGATCGTAACGGTTGTTACCTTGTTTGGCGTACGTGGTTAAGAGATTTCGGAAGTACTAAAATAACTTGTCTAAAAGTACCCTTGTATCGTCAGGTACAATTTTTGCCTAGGCAGTAATGAGTATATTAAAAGTTTAAAACTAGTTGGACATGTGATAAAATTGAGATTCCCATTGTGATTTTCAAATAGTATAGTTTATTCTTAACATACTTGTTAACAAAAACGTGTCGTGTATAGTTTATTCTTGACATACTTGTTAATAAAAACGTGTCCTGTTTGAATCAAATTAAATCATATATATAAATATAAAATTTGTACAAAAACAGTCAATGTTCAACCTTTTTTCACACTTCCAAATTAATTAATTATAATTCTCTCTCTGTATAATAATAAATAGTTTTCAATTTTAATCACTGAAGAGTTTTACACATTATAGTACGTACACTCCACCATGTGTAGACTTTTCCTATATATATACATGCGTTGCTCTTCCTCTCCAATATTTCTCGCCCACCACAACTCTCTCTCTCTCTCTC